CTCGTTTATTTCATGTGACCCAAAGCACTGATGAAACCCCCCCGGGGGGGGGGGGGGGGGGGTTCTCCCATATATGGACTAAACGGGGATGATCCGCTGAACAGGGTATGGTTTTTCAACTTTCTTGTCATAAACAGGGTATGCAATTTCACTCAAGTTCCAAGTTCTTCATGAGTTTCCTGTCATATTCAGGGATTCTTCTTTCGTATTGACCAAAACTGGTTATTATGGTCGTAAAAAACGATACACGAGATGACATGATAATTGAAACAGGAACTCCGTGCAATAAATTATATCTTTTATCATAAACAGGGTCCACAAATTTGAATTTTTTGGATACTCTCCTGCAGTCCTCATCTGTACTTCAAATTAAACTCTTGCAAATTAATGCATTATTTCATGTTACTTAATAATATTTTACATTTTATCATCATCCTTAATAAACAGGAATCTGAGCTGTATGAAAAGGTTATCCTGTGCTGCCAGATCCCAGTGTTAAGTGCTCCTCCCGTCCCCTCTCCATACTCCCCATCACCTTCAATAGGTGCTGTATCACCCAATTCTCCAAGGAGGTAAGATTTGGCTCTTCAGGACAAATTAGGTAACAAACTGCTTGCAAATAGTATAGGCTTACAGTATATTCTAACATAAACCTTCATGGCTCTTTAAATCAGTTAGTTGTGTACAGACTTTTTGTTGTCCTGTGAAGTAATTAGTATAGGTAATAGGACTACATGCTGTCCAATTTGGAAATAATTGGATGAAAAAAATTCCGAGGACTGACAAAATTGGAAGAGGCCGATAGGCCGATAGGAATTTTTTCAATTCAATTATTTCCAAATTGGACAGACAAGTAGTCCTATTGCAGATTAATTAAATCAAAGTATTCCAAAGAGTTCATTGACGGGGATATCTTCTAAGCTACTATCTTCTTGCCTTGCCATCCTCCTTCTTCCAACTTCCTCCACCATTTTGAAAAAATTACAATATGAAAAAAGTAAACAAGGATTATAGAGTGATGATACAATTAAATATAATAACAAATGAGTAACATAATGTTTCAATGTTTTTTTTTCAGCCCTCAATTTGAATTTTATGATTCATCATACAGTCCTCCAGCTAGGGATTATGTTTTCTCTCCTTTCCGTCCATCCCAAAGATTTTCCTTTAACGTTGAAGAAGTTTCTTCTGATGAGCCAGTGCAAGCAGAACAGTTACAAGAATTAGCAAGAAGAACATTTGGATTAACTAAAAGACAGCAAATATCCCTGGAGAAGAGCATCAGAGAAAAGATGAAACCAAAGACAGCGGATAGGGTGTGTAGAAAGAAAGAATTCCACTGGTTATCATATCACTTTTGGTTTCCTGGAAATGTTTTTAACAAAGTTAAAAATAAAGAAAAAAGTCATTGTTACATGATATTAAAGGTGGATATGATGTCACAAAAATTAGAGATCAATCAAGATCAAGAAAAGATACAATCCCCTTTACTTGTGATCATATTTTTTGATTTGATATCTCATTTCTACAAGGTACTTGTGGAAGATCTATTAACGCAGCTCTCACTGTTACACAAAAACTTTCACCCTTACTACCGAATACAATCTTTCCTGGACAAGAATGGCTATGACCAGTGGGTAGAAACAGAGAAAGATCATATTAACAGACTGGTAAAAAGGTTTTGGAATTCACCTCTACCATCCCTGAATGAATGCTATCCCATACATTTGTTTGATGCTCATGAAGGATATAACATCTTGCTCTCAAAACTCATAAGGTATCTACATTTTATTGAACATCCTTTGTACCAGTGCACGCATTCCTGCCATACAACGTACATTTGTACAACTGCAAACATTCCTGCCATACCACTACGATAGCTTTGTACAACTGCACACGTTTCTGCCATCCAGATATTTAATAGTTGAGAACTGTTTGTTTTTCTCATGAACAGAGAGGAAAGTCTCAATAAATGCTCATCTCACAGCGTATTTGGTGATGCAATTCCCACTTCTCCTCTCTCCCCTGCGTCTTGCCGACTTCTTAAGGAGTTTGGATTAAGATATGGAGTTGGAGAGTTGTATAGAAGACTGATTTACCTTCAGTATTTGGTCAAGTAAGTTGTATGCCAGACTGTGCATGACTATCTTTACTCTAGAGCTTAGAATTTAACCTACAACCTATAGTAAACACTAGAGGAGGGAATTCTACAGTATGGGGGGGGGATTCACAACGTTTTGGAACTTACTTTAGTGACAGGTACAAAAGTAACATTGTTTTCCTGTGTTGTCCAATAGTCATTTTGAGTGTGAGGTGTGGTACATCAAACACGTTACCAATCTTCTGGAAATAGTGATGGGACTGGTAACTAACACCCCTGAGATCTATGTCAAGGAGGAGGTAAGCCATAGAATTATATATGTCCTCTTAGTTCCTCTTGCTCACATCTCTTTCATCTTCATGGATTTTTTTTTCGTGGTTGGTTAATATGTGTTTTTCTTATGAAAAGACAAAAAAGTCTATCTGTCTTTGGTCTTGACTCTCCTTCCTTTCCTTCCTGCAAGATAATAGTATAACTTGATTGTTTGCTTTTTTTCCTTCTGACAGTTCTTAATGTGCATTGAGATCTTATCACTTCTCTTTCGCCTTTCCAAATACTACCTTACACGAGTCACAAGGCTGTTCAAACAAAACTCTCCTCCTGGTGGAGTAACATCACTGGTTGCCATGGCAGCAATGGTAGAGGAAGCTGCTCATTTCCTCAAGTCTACTTTTCCCGCCGTTTTTATGAATGTAAGAGAAGCACGCAAATTTGTGGATAGCTTTGGGGAAGAACCGTTTGAGATCCAGTTAGCTTCTTATCTCAAGGTACGAAATGTTGCTTTGAACATCAATTCCAGGATTGTAGAGCCACGTTGAAAGTTGGGAGGGGGCAAAGACTTAGAACGCCAGTATTGAATGTTAGAGAAAAGTGAGGAGGCTTAAGCCACCAATTGGTCCATAGTAAGGTAACATGTTTTTGGATGGAAAAACCTTTCAAGACACCAATTTCAATACTAACTTCTACGTGGACTTCTATGTGCTAATACAGTAGACAATGTGAAGTATCCTCAACAGGGACAGAACTTGAGAGTGATTCGTGTGGTTGTCTTTTCTTTGCAGGAGGAAATAACGGGCCGTTATGAGAGATTCAAAGTAATAGCCATCGATGAGCTGCAATTGAATCGATATGAGAATCCATTGTCACCTCAGCTCCTCAACATTCTGATTTTGAACATAAGAGATGAAATAATAATCTACAAGACGTACTATCAAGAGGAATTTCAAAGGTAGTAATACTCAGAGATTATTCTCTCCTATCCCTGCTCCTCTACCTAATGACGTGCCATACTTACAAAGAAAACTGCCTGTGGCTCCTCTGAAATGGTTTGATGTTATTTCTTCAGGTACTTGGATTTTGTGCAACTGGCTACCGTTACTTTCTACCGTCTTTTGATGGATGATGTTGGTGAAATGTGTCAACTCATTCCAATAAACGCACCCACAAATGAAGTAGATCTGCGCATGCTTAGCCTGGCTTTCAGACTATCGATCTTGGATAAAGACAACGTGAAGTATTTGAGACTTGGGTAAGAACGAAGTAGATAATAAACGTACTGTTAGTTCATTACTAAGACTTGTCTGAGATACTTACAATCCTCTCAATATCAGGATTGCCGCTTAAAGACGATTTTTAATTAAACCTTTACAAATGTATGCCAAACTTAACCGGCAGCTGTAAAAACGGAGGATATTATATCTGAAGTGAAATAGGTAATGGTAATAAAGTAATGAAATTGGATCAATATAATCAACTTGTTTCACTCCCCTTGCCTTGCCCCTTCCCTTGCTTGCCCCCCCCCCTACACAACCACCATGCACACTCCCTCAATCACATAGCATCTTCTATTTAATCAATCTGTATAGTTTTCAATTAATTTTTCCAACTTTTTTAGCATGCAGACATGGCGTGAACCTTTCCTTCGACTGTCCTTGCTCTGGATGGATGTTGTGGGAAGATATCTAAAAGACCTAGTACCATGCCTTCTCCAAAGAGACCAGTGGCACGTGACTAGTGTTGTACAAGAAGAGAGTGTATCAAGACCTGCAAGTGCTGTACGCCGTATGCCCAGGACACAGTGTATTACTCGATCAGACCACTCTGCTTTCACACCTGTAGACCCTGTACATTGTGCTGCAGAATCTGACTTTAGAGTAAGTGTCGCGCAGGATCAGTTCACTAACTCATGCTTCTTACTAACATATTTCCACTGCCTCGAATGGCTCTCCTTGTCGATTCTTTTCCTCCCCTCCCCCC